GAGAGAGAGAGAGAGAGAGAGAGAGAGAGAGAGATTACAATTTAAAATGCAAATTAGTTTTTGATTTTAAGTTTTCGTATAATTTGTTGTTTTTTAGCTTATTTTCTGATTAAAACTTAAGATACAGTGTTTCTATAGACAGCACCAAAAAATTGATTGCTTTTTGAATTAACAGATTCCTCGATGAGATAAATGTGTAAAAAATAGAAAACATTTATACATTACTTTGAAAGTATATATTTTGCTTTATTATGGGAGTAGAAATCTATTAATAGCACACGTAATGGGTCCTTATTATAATTTTTGCTTGCTATTTACCTTTTAATATGTATTTTATTACTGTGCCTTTATGTTAATAGAAAACTAATCAACTTTTTTGTGTTTGCCTTACCTTTAATTAAATGTCTACTAATTATATCAATATATCATTTGCTTTACAGAAAAAAGTTTAGTTGAATTTTAATTATCCTTTTCAACAAAAAATGTAGAAATAAACCAAAATCTCATTAAATACAAAATTTACGGACAAAAAATCATAACAAATAAAAACATAGTTACCGTTTAAAGTGCTATATTTTTTGTTTGTAAACTTATTAAAACTATAATTATATTATAAATTAAAATCAAGTTAAATGAATTATATATCGCATAAAAAAATGATTATCGCATAAACATTAATTTTAATTTGATTATAATTTTATGAGAAAATCTATTTTGTATTTTGTCATTGATTTCATAGCTCAATAATTATGGTATCAATAGTTATGGTATTATTTGCGAGTTTAGTGGAGATGTATGCACCGGATTACGTCAAATACCAGCCCTTCGGCCGATTTATTGTATGCTTTTCTCTCATATCAAACACGAAAAAATTATTTCACATAAACCGTGAGAAAATGGATGAAAAGTTGGCGTTTGTTCACGGGATACGAGTGCTCACAATGATCTGGATCATTGCCATCCATACGTTTACTGTGGGCACACTGTTTGTACCGATGCTCGTGTGTAAGTGTCACACCGATTCATGACATTTCAAATGATAGTTAAATATATTGCATTACTTCACAATTAATACCATAATATGCTAGTGTATTATAAGTACCGGTATACTAGCATATTAATTTATAAGGTATAACTTAGCACACTATTGGTACAAAAATAGTATTCAAAGTTTCTACATCTATAAAAATTGTATTTTGTTAATATCCTAGTTTTATTTTGTAACTTTAAAGTGTGTTTGTGAGATATAAACTAAATTAACATTTAAAGAGGTATAATGACAATGGATATTTTAAAAGCACTTTTAGTGTATTATTTTGATCTAATTTTAATGAACACATTAGCGTTAGGTTAATAGGTTTAAAAGGTCGGGCATACCCTATCTATAAATTTAAAAGTTTATTAATTAAATCAAGTTTAATTACTTTTTCATCAGAATCCTATCAAGCATTTAAAAAGTTTTTTAATTACAAACAAAAATACAATTTAATGCGATTTAAAATACTCATTAACTTATCAAACAACAAGCAAGTAATGAAATCAATTAAAAGTGCATTAAATTATTTTGAATTTATATTTAATTAACAAAGAAAATATATTTGACGATCAAATTGTTCTTGTTGAAAACAATTCACATTTTTTAGACCGTTTTGAAGACGAGGCGCGAAAGTTTGGCAAACAATTGTCCACTCAATTCATATTCAATGGCTTCATATCTGTGGGCAACTTCTTCTTCCTGTCGGGTCTTGTGGTCACCTATATATCGGTTCCAATGTTTAAGAGGACGGGCGCTCCCACTCTATTTAGCTACATATCCATGCGTTGGTTTCGGTTTATGCCGTCCATGATTGGCATTATCTGCTTTCACATACTGTGGCCACTCATGGGCTCCGGACCCGTGTTCAAGAAGTACGCCAACGAGCTAACTGAGCCCTGCAGTCGCAACTGGTGGACAAATATATTATTTATTAATAATTGGTTATTACTGCCGGATATGGTATGAGAAAAGTATTATTTATTTTTGGCTATTAATTTTATGTTGTATGATGATATAACAAATAAGCAAAAAAATCATTTTTCTATTATAATATCAATAACAAAAAATCTGGGATTGTATTAAACAAAATCATTTGTTTGATTAATGATTTGAATCGTGAAAGACATTTATATTTCACACAATCTCTTATTCACTGCAATCCATGCGAATATCTATTATGATTGCTATTATTACATATAATTTGGAAATTTATTTATTCGGGATCATTATTCACTTTTTATCAAAAGGCTAGTCCTATGTATCCAAAAAAGCGATTGTTTGGTTAAGTGTGAGAATAAAATTAAGTTATCTCTGATTATTACATATAATTTGGAAATTTATTTATTCGGGATCATTATTCACTTTTTATCAAAAGGCTAGTCCTATGTATCCAAAAAAGCGATTGTTTGGTTAAGTGTGAGAATAAAATTAAGTTATCTCTGTAAATTGCATTCAAAAACTCAATCATTAATTATAAGTTTGTCATCATTAATATTATGTGATAAAAGCCCTCTCATAGACTGTCTGTCCCCTATAATGTCCTGTTCTGTCATTCAATCATACATTTGGTGTGTTTTGTGAATATATTCATCAAAAAACATTTATATTATTTTTATTTCATGTGATAATTGTTTTTTATTTAAATTGCGATTTTTTTGTGACATATTTTTTGAATCTATATATTCGTGTGTTTTTAGAGCTATTGATAACAGACTTTTAAAATTAATTTATCAGAAAATGTAGCATTTTTTGCTATGAATTAAGTGGTCATAAAAATATAATTAATTGATTATAAGATTTTGATAGCACTAATAATATTTATCAAATCAAATTTAATTAATATCTTTTTAAATTTTAAATGCTTTTAGTGCACTATTTTTATATGAATTAAGTGGTCATAAAAATATAATTAATTGATTATAAGATTTTGATAGCACTAATAATATTTATCAAATCAAATTTAATTAATATCTTTTTAAATTTTAAATGCTTTTAGTGCACTATTTTTATTAGTTTTACAAAATAATCTGAAATATATTTAAATGATAATAAATTTATTGAATTCAAACTAGCATTGTCACATTTGAAATTGATTTATAGTGAAATGTCACGAACATTTTTGTCTGATTGTTCTGGGTCATAAACATATTCATGCTTTGAAAGTGTTTCTCTGAGAAAAAGTAAATAAAAACTTTCAAAATTCAAATAGACTGTGATTCACCCAAGNTGTCACATTTGAAATTGATTTATAGTGAAATGTCACGAACATTTTTGTCTGATTGTTCTGGGTCATAAACATATTCATGCTTTGAAAGTGTTTCTCTGAGAAAAAGTAAATAAAAACTTTCAAAATTCAAATAGACTGTGATTCACCCAAGCACATATTTATTTTTAAAATTAGCTTTTGATATACAGTACATATGTAGTTTAGTGTACATAGTAGTATGTAGTTAAATGCACTATAATTCCCATTTACTAACAAGTAAGTGAGGTTTCAAAAGCTTAGTTTATTTAAAAATTACAAATTACAAAATATAAAACTATTTCTAATATTCATATTTTAATAGACTTTAATTTTTAGTAAAATAAAAACTGTATTAAATTATTTGACATAAAAAATAACATCAATATAAGGATTGTTTAAATTTAATTATTAAATAAAATACCGTTCTATACTAAATTAAAATATTTCTAAAACTATAAATATTTCTAAAATATAATTTTAGTATAAATATTACTATTTTTTAATTTGTAATAAAACCAACCTAATAGCTAAGAATGAAATCATTTTTGATTTGAGAGATTTAAATTTAGACATAGATTATATTATTCAAACAAAAATATAAACAAGCAATATTAAGCTAAATTATAAGCATAGATTTTAGCATGTGCAAATATAATTTACCATTATAAATTAAACATGTTTATATGAATTCCCATAGTGTTTAGTCCACACATGGTTTATGAGCGCCGACTTCCAGCTCCACATACTATCCTTTTTCGCGATACTGGCCTTAAGTAAGACCTGGAGCCGAGGTTTCGGTGTAGTCCTCTGCACTTCACTCATACTATGCGGGATCGCCATCCCCTCCCTCGTCAACTACAAGACAAACGGTCCGCCAATGCCTATGCCTTTCGAGGAACCGGATTTGGATCAGTTCTACAGAGACCTCAACACCC